TATATATATATATATATTAAAAATTTTTTATAACAAACTGACAAATAATATATTTGTTAACATTCTCACGTATTTCTATTTTATTATTTTCAACTGTATTTTGTAGTAAGTGAAATTTGATAAATACAACAATTTATATTATCGTAAATTCTAATCTCTAATGACTCTTAGAAAATCAACTACCTACCACATACATGGAAAAGCTATTAAGGTTTATTCTTGTCTGTCAACGATAAGACGACGTTCATTTCGATATAACGATAATTGATATCATCTTGGGGATAGGCAAATGAGCTGTTACTCGGTGTCAATCTTCCAATGATTAGAAAACATCTGATTAGAAAACATCTGATTAGAAGACGTCTGATTAGAAAGTAAACGTTTACATATTCATTAACTTACATTACATAGATGAATAAGGTTTTAATCTTGTTAGAAAGAACATTTTTATCCTGTAACTCTATCAAATTTCAATCAAATATCAACATTATTTGAAAATTCATTATTAATTTAATTAATTATGTATATTATTATAATATATATATATATATATATACATAATTATATTATTATATTAACCCTTTGCACTCTGCTGTCTCACCGTATGAGTCATTGTGTGTCTCAACGTATGAGACATTAAAGTTTATTAGTATATAAAAGTTATTGTATAATAAAATAACAATTATATTATTATACAATACTATGTATTTTATTTTTATTATTATTATTATTCTAGAAATACGCATATATATATTTTATATTCTTTTTTTGAATTTGTAATACATCTTACTGTTTGTATTGTTGAAAAACAAACAATACACCACACATTATATATATATATAATAATAATAATAAATTTCTATTAAATATCGTAACATTCATAAAATAGTTATTTAAACGAAATGTAATTTTTGTTTATTATATAGGAATAATACGATATACCTGTGTATTCTCGTTAAAATCGAATTTATTTATTAAATTAAAGTAGCCTCTGTGAAATTACCTCTACCTACCTATCTACCCACCAACCTACGTCACCAGTTGAGATTTTCGAGTTTTAAGTTTGTTTCTAATTAACAAATCGAAACATAACACAACACACTCGTCGTATTATTTATTAAATAATATTAATTACTTGGAAATTAGATCGAGTGGACGAATGAGAGAGAAAACCATTGCAAAATACATTTTCAATTGGATCGATACACTTGTTGTTAGTTAAATTATTATTATTATTTTTTTTTTTAACGATCTCATTACGTTTCTCATTGCGTAGGTGGTTTACAGATAAATTCTGTCAATTTATCAATACTTAAAAAAAGTCTACGTTTTCTATCTAATGTGTATACAAATGTCAACGCGTATAAGTATGTGTGTGTGTGTGTGGTTTAATGCATTCGTTAAAACGACAACAGCAATTAGAAAAAGGGAACAATAATGACGACACATTAGAAGGATCGATCGATAAAAAGCAGAAATTTCGTTCTAAAATTACGCTTGATTTTAGAC